TGGAGAAAGCTAGGGAGTTCCAGAAAAACATCTACTTCTGCTTCATTGACTATGCTAAAGCCTTTGATTGTGTGGATCACAACAAATTGTGGCAAGGGCTTAAAGAGATGGGAGTACCAGACCATCTTATTTGTCTCTTGAGAAACCTATATGCGGGTCAAGAAGCAACAGTGAGAACTGGGCACAGAACCACTGCTTGGCTCAAAATTGAGAAAGGAGTTCGGCAAGGCTGTATACTGTCGTCCTGTCTATTTAACTTATATGCAGAGCACATCATGAGAAAGACGGGCCTAGATGAATCACCAGTTGGAATTAAGATCGCTGGGAGAAATATCAACAACCTCAGTTATGCAGATGATACCACTCTCATGGCAGAAAGTGAAGAGGAACTAAAGAGCCTCTTGATGCGGGTGAAGGAGGAGAGCGCAAAAGTTGACTTGAAACTCAACATTAAAAAAACTAAGATCATTGCGTTCCGTCCTCTCACTTCCTGGCAAATAGATGGGGAAGAAATGGAAGTAGTGACAGATTTTATTTTCCTGGGCTCCAAGATTACCGCAGATGGGGACTGCGGCCAAGAAATTCAAAGACGCTTGCTCCTGGTGAGGAAAGCTATGGCAAATCTAGACAGCATACTAAAAAGCAGAGACATCACCCTGCCAACAAAAGTGCGTATAGTCAAGGCTATGGTTTTCCCAGTTGCAACGTATGGCTGTGAAAGCTGGACCATAAGGAAGGCTGAGTGCCGAAGAATTGAAGCCTTTGAATTGTGATGCTGGCGGAGACTCTTGCGAGTCCCTTGGACAGCAAGGCAATCAAACCTGTCCGTCCTAGAGGAGATCAACCCTGACTGCTCTTTAGAAGGCCAGATCCTGAAGATGAAACTCAAATACTTTGGCTACCTAATGAGAAGGAAGGACTTCCTGGAGAAGAGTCTAATTCTGGGAACAATTGACGGCAAAAGAAGAAGGGGATGGCAGAGGATGAGGTGGCTAGATGGAGTCACTGAAGCAGTTGTTGTGAGCTTGAGTGGACTCTGGGGGATGGTGGAGGACAGGAAGGCCTGGAGGAATGTTGTCCATGGGGTCGCGATGGATTGGACACCACTTCGCAGCTAACAACAACTAACCTTTGAATTGGCCCCAGACTTCAACTGCAAGCCAATGCAGCTGAAAGAGGACTGACATAATATGTTTTCATTATACAGTCCCCATTAAGAGTCTTGCAGTTTTATTTTGAATCATTTGAAGTCCCCGGACCATTCTCAAAGCATCTGAATACAGTAGTCCAGATGAGACCTTACCAGAGCATGGAGTATTATAGGTAGTCTTTGTCTGTCCAGAGTTATGGTTGATGCTCCAAGGTGTTCCATGCCACTGAATCCAATTTTGGACAGTTCAGGATCCAGGAGCACCTTCAAATTACGAACTTTGTCCTTTAGGGAGAGTGCAAGGCCATCCAGAACAGGTTGAGTATCACCCAGTTGGATAGATGAACCACCCACAAACAGAACCTCCCTCTTGTCTGGACTGACTCTCAGTTTATTGGCCTCATCCATTACCAGTCCATTACCATAACCAGACACTGATTCAGAGCAGCCACTGCTACATCTTGATTTGATGAAAACTCAAGGTACAACTGAATGTTATCTGCATATTGATGGCACCTCAGCCCAAATCTCAGTATAACCTCCCCTAGCAGTTTCATGTAGATGTTAAATTACAGAGGAGATAAAATAGAGTCCTGTGGTACCCCATGGCATAGCAGCCATAGTGCAGAGCAGTAGTCCCCCCCAGCACCACCTTCTGGAAGTGGCCAGTCAAGTAGAAGAGGAACCACTGAAATGCTCATATTCCCAACCCAGGCAGCCTGCCCAGAAGGATCAATGCCATAATCGATGGCATTGAAAGCCTGTGAGAGGTCCAGGAAAATCAACAGGGTCTTTCTCCTGGCTAAGGTCATCCCAGGGTGACCAAGGAAGTTTCCATTCCAAAACAAGGCCTGAAACCTGATTGAAATGGATCTAGAGAGTTCGTTTCATTTAAGAGTGTTTGGAGCTGTTCAGCTATCACCCACTCAAACAACTTGCCCAGCAAGGGAATATTGACCCCTGACCTATAGTTGTTAACATCTTCTGGGTCCCAGTTAAGCTTTTTCAGGAATGGCTTAATCACAGCCTCTTGTGGGAGCATGGTATCACTCCCTCAGGGCAGCATTTACAGCTTCCTGGACCCAAATACAAATTCATTCCTTAATTCTGATAATAAGCCATGACGGGCAAGGGTCGAGCAATACAGGAGGTGGACCAGACTAGGCTAAGTATCTTGTCCACATCCTCAGACCTCATTAACTCATCCGCTAAAACTGGGCCAGACAATGATCTGTATACCTCTGTTAAGGGAACTGCATTAATTCTGGAGTCCAACTCAATCCAAGCAAAATTCATCACAACAAGCTACTGAGGATTCCACAGTTTCTTTCTCTGGCCCAGTTGGCAATAGGCCATGAAACACTTGGGGAAGCTCTGCTGGGCAACACGGAGAAGACGCAGTGCTTGTGGAGAAGAACTGCCTCTTTGCCACCCTTACTGCAATGGAGTAGGCTCGATAATGAGCTCCAACCCATGTTCCATTAGTTTTCCTCCACCTGCACTCTCGCCATCTCCCTCTTGCTTCATTGCAGTCAGGTGTATATCTAGGGACTGGCCAGACTCTGCTCAAGGGAAGAGGGTGCTTGGGTGCATTCATGTCAACCACCCGACACATCTCCACATTCCACAGGGCTTTCACAGGAGCACTCGCCATACCAGCTGGAACTCCCCCGCCCCACCCCCAGAACCTTTTGGAAAGCATCAGGATCCATTACCCTCCAGCGGAGGCCCATTTTCAAAGTGCAGAACAATACAAAGTGCAAGCAGTCCGGACTAGTGTCTTGGGCATACAGGGTTCCTGGTGAGAGAGAGACAGAATGAGAGAGAGAATTCCTATAGACCATGGCACCACTACCCCCAGCCCTCATACCTGCCCTGATGCTGAACCAAGTACAGGCACAACTGGGAGACACTGACTCCTCCCTGTATATCCACCCAAACTCTAGGTCATGCATGCCATATTGACTGCCTCATTCACAATTAAATGAGCAGTAAATCCATTTTTCCAGAGGGATATAAATATAGGCAGGTAAAAGAACCAGTGATATTTCAGCTTTTTTCTCCTTTTATCTCCACACTTGAAAAATCACATAGATAACTTCTCTTGCAGTGTACAGATACCAGATAAAGCCAGTTACCATAAAATTCTGCTGTTCTGCTAGGTGTATACCATTTCAGCTATTAACATGCATAGAGTTGTCAAGTAAATAACTAGAGGGGACTTGAAAAACTAATTAGTATCATGAAGTGATCTGATTATGTCGACCTTTTTTGTAGACTACTGTATTTAAAGATTAATTTAGATTTGTAGTTTGCTAATGGCCATGGTTTTTTTCTTAGTTAATGAAAGTGACAAATCCTTCATTTATAAAGCCCATTTATTGTTTTGATAATTTTCAGTTTTCATTTTCTATTAAATTAGTAGGGGAGTCAAAAAAGTGTTGTATTTAACACCAATGCTTGCTCTTATTTCTGATCTGCTTGTTGTTTTAAGAAAGAGTGATTTCACGGGGTCTATTTCCTTTGTTGCTATTTTGTTTTGTTATGACTTACATGCTGTTGTAGTTGCTCAGGTTTCTTTTTAAAGAAGAACAAAGCATGACAATAAATGCAGTAATGCAGAATTTGTTACTTGAAATGTTGAGATCCAACTCTTCTTCATCAGCATCCCAAAAACCAGTTTAAACCATGCCATGACCCCAGTGATGGTTAAAGCTCTATCTCTACTGCTCAGGCCAATCCAGAACATATTGATATCTGCAGTTTTCTTTTAAAATGTCTTTGAGACAATTTGCAGCTGGGAGCAGGTGTCTTGTCTGGTTTGACTCTGTGTGTATTATTGGAAAAGCACAAGCCCCTCATTCATAGGGTCATTCTTCTGTGTCGGGGTGGACAGATACAGGATCTACTTTATTTTCTTAGCAAAACCATAAGATCTGCCAGGTGCAAAAGACATACAATTAGAGTTAAAGAATTCTGAGCGCTGGAATTTGGTTTGAATACCAAAACTGAATGAAGCTCACCATCCACAAGAAATCTCTTCTTGGTTGCCCTGTGCTTACTTGATTTTAGCAATATAATTTTATTATATTTCTTGGGGGAGTGCAGTTAATTTTGTTGCTGTTGCTGTTAAACAGCTGGTAATCAGACATCTTTGTAGTGAAACTTATCCAGAAACCTAGTAGATTCTGATTTACTTTCTGTCTGTCAGTGTGTAATTTGCTTTATAACTTTGTGTAAAACCAAGAGAGCTATTGATTCTGAAGAAAAAGTTCTGTGAGAACTCTCACAGAAATGGGAGTGAGAAGGATTAGAAATGAGGAAATGGAGACGAAAGCTCCCAGTGTGTGTGGAATGACTGGTGGTTTCGCAAGAGGCTAACATTTGCATAGTGCTAGGATTGTCCTGTTTGGAACCTTAATTCTAGACACATCTATCTAGAAGGATGTTGAGAAAGCTCAACATCCTTTGAGAAAACTCATGTAAAGGGTGCTATTATCTCAATGTTGGATAATCTTAATTTACACATTTTACTATTCATACACGGGAGGTGGTTGAAGCCCCATCGGTGAGGGTGTTCAAGGATTGGCTGGACATGCACATGGTAGGCATTTCATGAGCAGAGCTGGCTGGAGCCAGGGGTCAGACTAGATGGCCTGGGAGACCCCTTCTGATTTACTCTATGTTTCTACATTTTCTCTCAGCAGGTGGATGATAACCTATAAGATTATAAGATATTCTGAAGTTGCATCTTGAACTTTTAATAAATAGTAATTATACTATCAAATAACAGTGCTGTGGTCATTTCTGTGTAATGTACTTTTAAATTTTTACTTCATGTCTTCTGCAGTTTGCCCAATTAGTGTCCATCTACAGAACCTTGGGACCAGAGAAATTTCCTCTAATTGAACAAACCTTTTACCCAAATCACAAGGAAATGGTAAGTGCAAATAATACACATAAACTTCAGTTGTTTCTACGTGGAAAGGAAATGAGCTATTAAAAACATGGTTAATTTTGTCCCTCTACCCACCATCCTGCTGATATTAAATGCTACTGAGACTTTTTCAGCTTCCCATCTGAAGCATTTCAGGTTATGAAAATGGAGGGGAAATTCCCAACAGGGTATTTTTTTATGCTGCAGACATTGAAATGAAGGATATACTTATTCATATGCATTCAGTTAAACCACCTGTTTATGCTGAGATGATATTGTGGGTTTTCTGGATTATACAATCAGTATGGATTGCTGACCTTTTTTTAAAAATGCATTCGTTTAAGAGGTTATTATTAAGTATTTCTGTTCTTTTAAACAGTCCTTAAATGTTCATTCTTGTGCTAACAAGCATTTTTCCTCTCAATTTCAAATAGATGTAGTAATGGACTGCTGTCTGGATATGCATGCTTCCTTTTGCTTCTGGTAGTGGAACTGTATTTACTAATTTTATTTTTAAAATACTGGGTTTAACAAAAGAAAGTCTGCATAAAACAAAAGAACAAGGTTCCAAATATTTTCATTGATCTAAGTAATCAACCAAAACTTTGTGGTCTCCAGAACACAATGGGATTATCTTGTGACTTTACACTGTGCATCTGACACTCAGGACAATGCCAGGAGTAATCTACTACTCCTTTCCCCAGCTCCAGGCCTGGATCTGAGGAGATACAGATCATTTCTTTTTGTGCTGCAGCTCCAAGGCACTTGGAGCACCTTAGAAATTAAGAGTGAAAAGAATCCCTGGGCCTCTTTTCTTCTTTTGAATTGGGGTAGGAATCATCCTGCAGTTGCACTTTGCTTCGGATGTGCACAGAAGTCTTGGAAACCCAGGGCAGCCGCAGAGACGATTGTGTTCACATGCATACTCTCCCCTTCTCCAGTACACACACACACACACACACACACACACACACACACACTATGCTTCTGAGACAGGGCTTCCTCTCTTTCTCTGAGTGGAGGGTTGGGGATTGTTGTCACTGTGTTTCTGAACGTTTCCAAAGCAAGATCCCGTCTTCTTCCCATTTCTAAACTGGAGGATGTATGGGGATCATCCCCACAGTTGCATTCTATTCTGTGCATCTCCAAAGCATAGTCCAAATTTTCATTATTTGTTTTGCCCATTATGACAAAAGGATATATATTGTACTAGAAAGGGCTACTAAGTGAAATACATGGAAAAGACTTGCAAAATTAAAAAAGAAAATAACCAATATGGACAGCTTGAAATCTTGAAATGAAAATATCATATTTGGGGGGGAAATCATAGGTAAACATGGGTTTGGGAAAAGTCAAACAAAAATATGTGTGGGGTTATAGTCCTATGTGGCTGCCTGCAGCCTTCTGAACTGAGAAGGCTATGAGCATCCAGTCAAGTGTGAGAGAACAGTGGCAAGCTTTGTGTCCGTAATGCCCTCTCTTTCAAAAACATTTAGATGGCCTGTTTTAGTCATCAAAATGTTTTCCTCCTCTTCCCAAAAATGCTGAGGTTGGATTTAGCAGAAAGTGGTGGTGTTTTGCCATTCCCTCTTCCCAGAAATTTTCATGTTGCCTGTCCCAATGACAGTCTTCAATTCTGGGGGTGTCAGTTGACATTGCAAGAACCAACTTAGCCAAGTGGTTGAGAGGGTGGGGGATGCTTTGAAGGGCAGAGTCCCTGCTGTGACTTCAGAAGGCTTTTCCAACTTTGCAGGTAGGGCTCTGCCTTTTCCTGTGGCCAGTTAGACAGTGTCTTCTATCCCAAGGGTTCCCCCTACCCGAAGCTCTGAATGATCTATGCACTGCTATTAGTAAAGAAACAGACCTTACACACCACTGTGCAATTTTTTACCATTTATTTTTAAGGCACCCACAATAAGCAGCCACTTATGTTGAAGTGCCTAAGATCTAGTGTTCTGTCATCTATGGAGGCAAAGGTCATATGATGGACTAGATATACCAAAATAATCTAATGTAAAAGTCACTCTGAAATACTTCATTTTGCACAAAACGTACATGAATGTCGAAGAAAAATCATTTTCATAAAATTGAAGGAAAAATTTAAGAGAGACAACTTGAATAATACATCAGGCTGCCCTTGTTGATGGACTTAAAATAAAAAAGTATCATAAGTTAGTTATAGAGTAGAAAGCAGTGTATCCATACTCAATCCTGTACAAAACATACAATTATTGTTTAATTTGCAAGGGTTGGGGTGGGGGAGAGAATCTTACAGTATATGTATAAAAAACAAATGACACAATCCAGTGTAATGTTCTTCCCTTGTAGTACTTTAAGCAGCTGCCATTTATGTGAGGCTTGAATTTCTGGTTGGATTGTGACCTAGATTAACCACATGTGCTAAAAAAAATGTATAATCATCCTCTGTAGATGCACTTTTCTGGGAATCATTGTGGTATAACCAAAAATGTAAGCTTCTGCTATCTACAATAATTACTAAAGCATATTCAGCTGTCTAAACATTACATTGACATTAAATCATGTTTTCAGAAACATTTTTGCACTCCACTGTTTGTTTTAGGAAGTGGGTATCCTTCATATCATGTATCTCTACATATCATGTCTCTTTATAGAAAATAGATCAAAATGTATCATGGTATCACGAGAGATACATGAAAAGGTTAGCACCCTTTAAAGAAGTACTATATTTAAATGCAGAAACCAGAAAATGAATGCTGACTATCATGACATAAAAACATACAAACTGTGGCAGTTCCTCATGATGCATCCATATCCGTTTTGAAAGACATAACACATGGGAATGAGCCGATGCACTATAACTAATCTATTAGATTTATAGAATCTTCTGTTTCAGCAGCTTAATATATTCGCTCGGACTTACGCTTACCAGAAACATTATTAATGCCTGAGTTCATTAGAATATGCCTAAAAAGTAAGGTCTAAACCAGTTGGTGGTGAAAAGAGACTTCGATGCTGAAAAGATCTATACTCCATAGGAACCTGGAATGTAAGATCCATGAATCAAGGCAAGCTGGATGTGGTCAAACAAGAGACGACAAGACTGAACATCGACATCTTAGAAATCAGTGAACTAAAATGGAAAGGAATGGGTGAATTTAATTCAGATGACCATCAGGTATACTACTGCGGGCAAGAATCCCTCAGAAGAAATGGAGTAGCCTTCATAGTCAATAAAAGTAAGAAAAGCAGTACTGGGATACAATCTCCAAAATGACAGAATGATCTCAGTTCGAATCCAAGGCAAACCATTCAACATCACAGTAGTCCAAGTCTATGCCCCAACCACTGGTGCTGAAGAGGTTGAAGTTGACCAGTTCTATGAAGACCTACAACACCTTCTAGAATTAACACCCAAAATTGATGTCCTTATCATCATGGGGGATTGGAATGCTAAAGTAGGAAGCCAAAAGATAACCGGAATAACAAGCAAGTTTGGCCTTGGAGTACAAAATGAAGCGGGGCACAGGCTGGTAGAATTTTATCAAGAGAATAAGATGGTCATAGCAAACACTCTTTTCCAACAACCCAAGAGACGACTCTACACATGGACATCACCAGACGGTCAACACAGAAATCAAATTGACTATGTGCTTTGCAGCCTTAGATGGAGAAGCTCTATACAGTCAGTAAAAACTAGCCCAGGAGCCGACTGTGGCTCAGATCATGAGCTTCTTGTTGCAATATTTAGGCTTAAATTGAAGAAAATAGGGAAAAGCACTAGGCCACTCAGGTATGACCTAAATCATATCCTTGATGAATATACCGTAGAGGTTACAAATAGATTTAAGGAATTAGATCTGATAGACAGAGTGCCTGAAGAACTTTGGAAGGTTCGCAACATTGTACAAGAGGTAGCAACCAAAACCATCCCAAAGAAAAAGAAATGCAAGAAAGCAAGATGGCTGTCTGAGGAAGCTTTACAAATAGCTGAGGAAAGAAGGGAAGCGAAAGGCAAGGGAGAAAGAGAAAGATACACTCAGTTGAATGCAGAATTCCAGGGAATAGCTAGAAGAGATAAGAATGCCTTCTTAAATGAACAGTGCAAAGTAATAGAAGAAAACAGTAGAATAGGGAGAACCAGAGATCTCTTCAAGGAAATTGGAGAGATGAAGGGAACATTTCATGCAAAGATGGGCATGATAAAGGACCAAAATGGCAGGGACCTAACAGAGGCAGTAGAGATTAAGAAGAGGTGGCAAGATTACACAGTAGAACTATACAAGAAAGAGCTTAACGTCCCTGATAACCACGATGGGGTGCTCACTGACCTCGAGCCAGACTTCCTGGAATGTGAAGTCAAATGGGCCTTAGGATGTCTGAGCAACAACAAAGCTATTGGAGGTGACAGTATTCCAGCTGAGCTATTCCTAATCTTAAAAGACGTTGCAGTAGAAGTGCTACACTCAATATTCCAGCAAATTTGGAAAACTCAGCAGTGGCCACAGGATTGGAAAAGGTTAGTTTACATTCCCATCCCAAAGAAGGGCAATGCCAAAGAATGTTCAAACTACCGCACCATTGCACTCATTTCACATGCTAGCAAAGTTATGCTCAAAATCCTACAAGCTAGGCTCCAGCAGTATGTGGACCGAGAACTACCAGAAGTACGGGCAGGATTTCAAAGAGGCAGAGGAACTAGAGATCGAATTGCCAACATACGCTGGATCATGGAGAAAGCTAGGGAGTTCCAGAAAAACATCTACTTCTGCTTCATTGACTATGCTAAAGCCTTTCATTGTGTGGATTACAACAAATTGTGGCAAGTTCTTAAAGAGATGGGAGTACCTGACCATCTTATTTGTCTCTTGAGAAACCTATATGCGGGTTGAGAAGCAACAGTGAGAACTGGACATGGAACCACTGATCGACTCAAAATCGAGAAAGGATTTCGGCAAAGCTGTATACTGTCGTCCTGTCTATTTAACTTATATGCAGAGCACATCATGAGAAAGGCAGGCCTAGAATCACCAGCTGGAATTAAGATTACTGGGAGAAATATCAACAACCTTAGTTATGCAGATGATACCACTCTCATGGCAGAAAGTGAAGAGGAACTAAAGAGCCTCTTGATGCGGGTGAAGGAAGAGAGCGCAAAAGTTGGCTTAAAACTCAACATTAAGAAAACTAAGATCATGGCATCTGGTCCTCTCACTTCCTGGCAAATAGATGGGGAAGAAATGGAGATAGTGACAGATTTTATTTTCCTGGGCTCCAAGATCACTGCAGACGGGGACTGCAGCCAAGAAATTCAAAGACGCTTTCTCCTGGGGAGGAAAGCTATGGCAAATCTAGACAGCATACTAAAAAGCAGAGACATCAGCCTGCCAACAAAAGTGCGTATAGTCAAGGCTATGGTTTTCTCAGTTGCAATGTATGGCTGTGAAAGCTGGACCATAAGGAAGGCTGAGCGCCAAAGGACTGAGGCCTTTGAATTGAGGCGGAGACTCCTGCGAGTCCCCTGGACCGCAGGGCAATCAAACTGGTCAGTCCTAGAGGAGATCAACCCTGACTGCTCTTTAGAAGGCCAGATCCTGAAGATGAAACTCAAATACTTTGGCCACCTAATGAGAAGGAAGGACTTCCTGGAGAAGAGTCTAATGCTGAGAACAATAGATGGCAAAAGAAGAAGGGGACGGCAGGGAATGAGGTGGTTAGATAGAGTCACTGAAGCAATTGGTGTGAGCTTTAGTGGACTCCAGGGGATGGTGGAGGACAGGAAGGCCTGGAGGAATGTTGTCCATGGGGTCGCGATGGATTGGACACGACTTTGCAACTAACAACAACAACAAACCAGTTGGCCATTTATTTTAAATAAAAATAGTGTTGGTATATAGTTCTTGTTTTCTTCATTGATGCACAGTGCCATCCAATGTGGCTGCCTGTAACTTTCTTTTCTGAAATTGGAGGATTATGGGTATCCAGTGGGGGGTGAGTGCTCCACCAGCTGTCCAAGATACTTAAATGGCCAGTTTTAGCTGTCCAGGTGTTTTATATCAGGTCATGAAGAAAAGAGATGGAGGCTCACCAGGATTCCTCACTGAATGGTGATGCTTCATTCCTCCCCTCACTGCCCCTCAGAAAAACCCCACCCCCCCAGTGTGGCTTTGAGGTCAGTCTCATGACCCCAGAGCAACAACCAGCACTGAAGGAACTGCATTGACTGTAAGGGCAAAGGGAGGGTGACCTGACCTTGAAGCACTTCTCTGAGGTTTGGAGTGGGACTCAAAATTATCCTATGGCTGGCTAGACAGTGTCTGGCAGTCAAGCTCTCCCTCACCTGAAAAAAAATAGAGGTTATGGTTCAGTATGCATTAACTTTTTAACATATAAATCAGATTCCACTGAAATTGTAACTTCTTGATAGAATTCTAGTTAAATTTTTTTGAGTGAGCTCACTGTTCAAACTGAATTATCTTTGCATTGCCTTTAGTGCAATCAATACAACATGTGTGCTATGTTTTGAGTACATAATACTGTATTTTGTTAGGTTATAGTGCATTTCTCTTCATCCAATTTTAATTTCCAGAACAAAGAAAAAGGACTGAAGTGATTGTTGCAGTTGTAATAGATAAGCTATTCCACATCTAGAAGCAAACATTGTATGTTGATGTTAAAATACTAAGGTAGCTAGTTTCATTATTTATGTTACAGTGGGGGAGTGGGAGATTTGCAGAAAGCCCTTTTGTAAAGAACAAATATCTCATTTAATTTTGAAGTGATTCATATCTGTATCTGAGATGCTACTCGCAATGAATTTCAAGTGCTGGTACCCCCCCTCCCTTCATCCACACATCATAAGAAAAAGAAAAACAACATGAAAAACCCAGTACTCAAAAATGAGTGCAGTGATGGAAAGCATGGAAGGAAGGAAACCAACTCACCACTAGCCAGCTTTATAACCTGAGCTCAGAAATGTTATTTCAAGTTGCAGAGCTAGCTCACTCGTTACCTTCTTTACAAAACTAAGGGCTTGCATGCAAAGGAGGCAGAACAAGGATAATGTTTTTGACATTATCAAAAACAAAAACCTTCAAGTTTTTTCCGAGTATTCACTTTTCAAGGAATTAATCACAAATGCACATGCGTTACACTGTGAACAGAAAGGTATTTGCCTATCTCTAGTGTGATGATAGCATATTTGGAATGCTGTTAATGCATATTGCTTCAAGAGTGCATTTGTAACAAACTACACAAGTGTTCCTCTGTACATTTGTCCGTATAGGCAGCAGGCAAAGAACTTCCAGAATGTTCCAACCAGAAATACAGCAGTACTTAGCAGTAGTTCTCTAGCCATCCAGGTGTGTCAGGTGTTACCTGTCTATGACCGCACATAGGAAGTTTAGGAAATGCAAGCAGTGCAGAAAGTTTTGTGAATCACATATGTCTCAAAAGGTTGGATTAATTGATTTCTTCATGTTCATGTTCAGGTGGCGCATTAATTCCATTTAGGTTTGTAACCCAATCTTTCCCTGTACCATTATCATTTTAAAAATCTCAGTGGCAAGTTTTGAAACTTTTAACATGCTGTTTCTCATTCAAATTATTGCTTAAGAGTAGAAATACTGATGTGCTTGCCCAACCCTTAAAAGATAAAATATTGCCTATTTTATTGAAATGATGAGAATCATTTCAATGCATTTTAGTATATAAAATGAGGTTTTAATGATCAGATTGATATTTGGGGGATATATTATTAAAAAGAGTATTCTTTAGCAAACTTTGAGAACCGGCTTAGGGGACATTCTGAGAAGTGGTGAGGAGAGGAGACAAACATTTCTGTTTTTTGTGCTTTTCTCCTTTCAGTTTCCTTGTTCATGGAAATACATAGTTACCAGGGTATTAAGCCTTGAGTTCCTTGGCCCAATAATAGCATGCCGTGCTATCTCTTTTGGTGGTGCAATGTTAGAATAATTATATAACAGAACAATCAACCATATTTTCTATTACACAAATATTTCCCCTTGGGTGGTGCACTGTCATAAAAGTTACAAACAGCACAATCAACCTTAGTTTCTGCTTTATGGCATATTCCAATCCATTGGATTACTACATTAGATCTGCTTTAGATCATCAAAGGTGTGTTATGAACAAATTCTTCAGAACATTAATAGTACTACATGAGACATAGTAAGTAGCATAAAGAAAAATGAAGTAAAAATATTTTAAATGGAATACATATCACATTTAACACACATCATTGGAAATAGGGAAATTAATTTCTGAGACTTTTTACATCAGACTGTTATATATCTTACATATACAGAATCCAAGCTGTTTTGTTTCAGGACTCTACTCCAAAACACTGCTTATAGAAAACATTTTTCCCACCTCCTGATTTAGAAATACCATTTTGGATTAAAACAAGGTTTTGTTCAACTTATTAACATGAAGAAAGGTCCAAATTTTGCTGAATCGTCTTGTTTTGTATGGGTACATTCAATTTGATTTAAAAATTATTATTCTTAGAAAATAAAAAAGTGTTCCCACATATCACTCCTCTGTGAAAAGAACTTTAGAGAGCAGCTACCTCCAGGAGACTCATTTATCTTCTTGTCTGAATGCCAATTCTACAAACTCTGTATTTGCACAGCACAATTTGCTTTTGTTTCTAAGCAAGAGACAGTTGTTGGAAGTTCAAAGCAGCAGTGAGCCACAGAGTTAGGTGGACTTAACCCCTGGGGCATTGAAAGAAATTACATCATTCATGGTTCACTGATGTCAACAAACTCTTTCTCTGGAGGAGGGCCACCACGATACCAACTGCATGTTCCGTCACTGCGCTTGATACAGGCATAATGCTTTGCTTGATGCCCGTACAGCTTCCTCTCTATCAGCCAGTCTGTCCACAGGCATTCATTTGGTGTAGTGATGGAACAGGGCACCATGTAGCAGGTAGAAATCTAAATGCAGAAAATTACATTAATCCTCTACTCTTTTTCTTTGAGAACATACTTTGTCAATGCATAAAATTCCATTTATCCAAACCTGTAAAAGTACTAGCTTTCTGAAATCCTACATTTAATTCATGTATAATTTATGGAAAAGTTTCAGTTGCCTTTATAGACCTTGGACCAACCCTTTCAGCTCCTCATTCTGTTATAAAATGCAGCATTGATTCCTTCACCATAGAATCATAAGATGATATAAACATATTTCACCACAATTTCCTGTGCGCTTTTACCAGCTTTTAAATGTTCCCATGACCTTCAGCAAGTTGTTTGTACCAATATTGCCTTTATAGATCTCAGGGACAGTTAATAGATTGCCTGAACATCTACATCATGAATGACAGGAAGCAGTCCTAATACATATAATTAGACCCTTTGCCGTAATGCATGTAATTTTTAATGTGAACAAAGATAAATTCATATCAATATCCCCACTTAAAGACTTCTCATATCCCTTTTCATGATTAATTTTGTGACTGGAAAATACTTATGAATGAACATGTGTTATGGAAAATCAAGGATAAGATTCATACTGTTGCATAACATCATGTTCAGAGGGATGTGTAAATATATGTGTGTGTGTGTGAGAGAGAGAGAGAGAGAGAGAGAATGACAAGAGATACTGTGTTCTATGAATATAGTAGGTTTGTTGCCATTAAGGGGTGGGAGATTGTGGGCTACATTCAGATTTCTGATAATCAGCTAATTATAGAAGGTTGATCCAGAAACTAATTTTCTGGATCTTTCATCATCAACAGAAGTAACTAATGGGTACATGAGCCAGTAGATCCGGTTATTAGAGTGGGTGGGTTCAGACAATACGAGCTGTTGGGAGTGAGAAGGATGGCTGCTTTACGTGCTCCTTCTCAAGGACTGCCGGCTGGAATTCATCAGATCAGGATGTGAGGCTGAACAGGATAGAGTTGAGGAGTATGGGCCATACTGAAACACTGAAAAGAGAAGTGGAGTTGCTCATCTCATGGCCACTCTCCCCAGGTGGTCAGGCAGTTCCTGGGAATAATCAAGATATGCAGTTGGCCGGAGGGGACCCTGAACATGGGATTTTCTCAGACACAAGAGCAGCCCCAGCTCTTGACCCCATGACACAGCATCAGCAGAGGAGGGCCCAAATAGAAGATAGGTGCACAGTGAGGAGATATGATCACTTTCAGAAAGCCCCTCCAGAAGGGATGGAACCCAGTAGAGTTCCTAAAGATGAAGACCAGATTTGTGATTTTGGGTCAGTAAAGAACACTTTGTAAGGAAAATGGTCTGTGACTTTTGAATGATTGGAAGAGGAACCTTGGTTTCCAACACAAGCCATGTTGTTTTTACCAATATTAGTCTGTTGTATGTTTTGAACTCAGTTGTAATATTTCACCATGGTGAATTTGCTCTTTACAAACCATGATAAGAAACAAATTTGTTCTAAGGTTTCTCTGTATTTGTTGTGTTATTTGAACCCAGGATCATGATTTCTATGGTCTTGGTAGACAACTACCACAGAGTTCCTCGGAAAGCCTGGCAACTGCAGAAGTTAGTTAGTCATCTAGTTTCTATGTGTAGACCTGTTAGAAACAGGCAAATGACATGGGCATGGAGCAGTGCACCTGGGGATTGAATTTCATGTGCAGTGGCTGATGTAATACATGCCAACAGCAGCAGGAGAGAAATCATGCTAACATAGAAACCACTTGATTGTCTGTCAGACAGACCCCAGTAAAAAGTACCATGTAAGTTGTGGTAACAATGCAGGGTTGCCTGTCATGTGAATGTAGGCAACGAGTCCCCAGTCTGTGGTCATAACATATTAGTCATGCATTTACAGAGGTAATAAGAAGTAAGTATACATAACACCTCCTAATCTTCATGTCATCAGTTAGACAGATTGTGCAAATTTGTAGTACTTCAGCAGTATTGAGTGTAACCAGAGCACATGAAGAGATAGATTCCACACCACTAAATAGGCACAGCAAACATTATTGGGAAGCATCTGCAGCCCTTGTGAATTTCAGTGAAACAAAATAGGCAAAGTGTACACATTCTAGCTAATAAAAGTTTAGGCCTTAAATTAAAGAGATTGTCATTTCCATTTACCTTCTTTTGGAACCAGATTGAAACAGCAGTAGCATATCGGTAGATTATATATACTTACTTTACAACCACAGCCCATTTGATATCTTTGATTTAGATTTTTCTTTTGGGAGAAGGTCAGGTCATCCCACGGCTCAATGTAATTGCATAAATGGATAAGAACTTTGCCATCATCTAAAATTTGCCCTGTATTAGGGAAAATATCAAAACAAATGTGTTCTTAACATTAGACATGCTATCTGCATCCAATAAATTATTGAAGATGTCACTTGTTTACTTCAGTAGGTTCTAGATTACATTTTAAGAATATGCTGACATAAACAACTGGATTCTGCAATAAAATACTGCAGTGTAATCCCAGATTACCAGGTATTTAATGGAGCCAGTGACATCCTCCTCTAGTTTACTATCTTTTCTTAGGGTACAAGCAGTTCTGTCTCCTCTTTCCCCCCGTTTTTCTTTTCAAACTGGCACTCGACTTTTTGTGGATCTCAAAGTCAACTGTACACGATCAATTCTTGTGCTGAGTCTGTTTGTTTTTTTCCCAAGGGTGGCGGCTGGGAGGGTTATTTGCTTTTTATTTTAATTAAGAAACTCATATATGTCTGCATACCTAAGGAATCCCCAGGAAATTGCTACTTTATTTTGGGATGAGTCCATATCCTTGTCAGACCAGTAGGAATTCAATCAGCAAAAAGTGCTATTAGAAGGAAATTATATTATTCCCTAAAGTAAGGGAATTATTATTTACTAAAACATGATTTTTAAAATATTAACTGCAAAATATTAACTAAAATGCCAGAGGGCACAGTTGTAAGAGAAATTATTGATTTTATCATTGAACACATCTATGCAGTGCAGTGCAGTGCAGCACAGCTAGAACATGTCTTTAAATTGCCTAGTATTGAAAGTATGCTTAAACAGAATGATCAGCTCTTGGTTGCAGAGGCCCACTGCATGGTACTATGTACTACTTTGGCTCTATGTACTGTACCTGTAAGGAGATACTGCTTCTTGTTGTTAGCTTCTAATTTTACCCCGCAGAGAGATGAATCAAAAGGTGTGAAGACATATTGCACATCTTTCAACTTTTCAAATCCTTTAAACATCTATTTTAGAAGAAAAAAGCAAGGAAATGTGTTGTATCTAAAACTGTTTATGAGATACAAAAATTATAATATTTTCCTCTATGTTTAATATAGCAGTACATTGCTGAAATAGAAATTAAGTTATTCAGTTGCTCGATTTTCTGCCATTGGTGGGTGATAGTTTGTATCTCTTGGTCTATATGCAGATGATGGTTGGGTTGTACCCAATTCTGTGGTTATAGCCTCAAGTGCCTAATCCTGTGTAATCCTGGAAGCTAAGTAGAGTCAGACCTGGTTGAAAGGGAGGGTGACTTTAGTCCTGCCTGGAAGAGTGACTTTAGTCCTGCACTGAGCAGGCAGTTGGACTTGATGGCCTGCTAGGCCCCTTCCGATTGTGTGATTCTATGGATCTCACAGGGAAAGTTAATGTAATCTGACAGAGTCAGATCTGAGCAGGGAAATCCAGTCTAAGGAAACAATCAGGCCAAAGCAGGCAGGGTTGTATTAGATAAGTGCTTTAGGCAGGCAAGGTAAAGGCAGATGCACTCTTGTATGAAGGGCATACCAGGACCACAGAAAGCTCGGCTTTGTCAGCTGAAGCCTTCTCCTTCTAGAAACAAAGGAGGATACTGTTTCAGCATCAGGGCAGAGACCACTGAACCCTTGTGTAGGCAATTACAATCTGTTGTGTAGTTAACTGCTCCACCACTGGAAGAGATGGATTAATTCTTAAATGGCTGTTGCCTGATTCAGTTTCTTGGATTTCTGTGAATCTGAATAGATGGTGATTCTGCTGATGGTCCCTCCTTTTACTCAAGGGGTAATGGGCGGACCATGTTTTCAGCCAAAGAATGCCTGAATATGTAACTGACTGTCCTTCCCCTGGTAGAACAAGTCTGATTCATGTCTTTAGCAGAGGTTTCTCCTCTGTTGTGAAAAGGCCAGGGGTTGAGAGTCATGACAGGAAAATGGCTGGAGGGTGGGGGCAGGGGGGAATGAGAAAAAAATGGAATGGAAGTCTCCCCCCCTTTTGCAATTTTCCTAGCAGAAAAAATGGATCATATTTTCTCATGTGAACAAGCAGAAATTGGTTAAAACAAAATTTTATTCTTGCAAATTTTGCAGTATGAAGATTTTTGTGTAAGAGAATCTGCACCATTAGAGACTGATAGTTCTATAATGTATAGACCTATATAACAATCACATCCAAGATACATTTGTGCTGCCAGCTTCATTAGGGGCATACCCAGAGAAACCCATTCATGGTTTGTGGTTTGCTGCTTGCCTTCTGACAGCCTCTGATTTATTTTGAGTATTCCTGAAGCAAGCATCTTGCATCAGCTTTTACTGACCTGGTCCCTTCCTTGTGGTTGACCTTTGCACCACTCCCCTCAAATAGCTGTGAAAGAGGCATCCTGCTACAAAATGGGATACATGAAGCTTATTGCCATGCCTTGCTGGAGGATAAAAAGGTCAGAAGGGGATGAAGTGGAAATGGCAAAGTATCTGTTGAAGGTACAATGACTTACATGAAAAATCTGACAACATTGATGAGAACTGACCTTTAACCAAGACCCCCAGAAGCAAGATAAGCTTCATCTAATTAACTAAACCAGAATCAGTTTGCTCTCTGAATTGCACTAATATGCCAAATATACAAATTTATGAGCTAAATACATTATAAAGCATTATAACAATTTTATATGACAGCATTATGATAAGTTTAGGTTCGAAAAGAAAGGAAGCACTGCATATATTTCAACTTGCCCCATCCTCTAAATTTCAAGGCTTTTCCGTAACTTCAGAATCTCTGCACATCCTACCTCTCTAACAGAGGTATGGCACAGCACAGTGAAATAATCTCTGTCTGCTAGGTGGCCTGAGATCGGAGCTATAAGGCTAGCTCTCAGGAGGCTAACCAAAGCAATTTGGAAGTGCCATTTTGGGCAAAAGTTACCATTTCGTTGTTAGATCCAGCAGACTATGAACATGCTGCACTGATGTCTTATATGCCAGTTCTTTAAGGCTGGCTTTAAAGTCCAACTTTTTAGTATGTTTGGTAAAGTGACATCATAGGTACACTGACATTCATATATTGTGTGTGGAAATTATTTTAGTCTCCCTTTGTTTGAAACCCACATAAAAATGTTTGTGTTCACTCTTTCTAGAAACTGCAGCTGCTTGTTGGTTTGAATTTATCACTTTTATATGTATATGCAAAGTAAGCATATTTATGCATCCATCGTGAGTCCCATTTGTGATTCCATAGAGTACGTGTGGTTTAGAGTGTTGCTCAAATATTGCTGGTTTCATGAATTATGGAATGCTGTAAAGAACTCATGCATATTATAGTTAGGTTTGAAAGAAAAGCATGGAAGCGAGGGAGTGTTCTAAATGCCTACCCTAAGTTGCCATAACATGACTAAACTCGTACCCTAAATGAGCTGTCATGATTGCATCATGCTTGGTATTGAAGACTGGAAGCAGCTTTCAGATCCAAAAGTCCTCATTTGTAGTATCTCTGGAAAATCTGCATCTAGTATTCTGTTAACATACTATACTGAAAGCTTTCATAAATTATATAGCGAAGGATACTAAATTATGGCTGCTGTCATGCCATAACGTAGGTAAAATTTACAACATGAAAATAGTCATGTCTGAATGATTTAGTCGTTTATATTTTATTACAGTTCACAATGTCACCACGTCTAGATGTCTCCACTTCTAGATGTTTGTGACATACAGGACTGTCACATCATTATACCTCATTTAAAAACTGAAAATAGCAAGGCAACAAGTAGGGATGTACAGGCATTCCAGAATACATTCTGCTTCTGTTTCACAGGTTATGAGAAACTTTTCACTTCATCGTCTGCTCACTGATTGTGGATTTTGTGCAAGTGCACTTGCACTAATTTGGAATGGTGCAAATTCACACTACTGCAGATGCAGAAATCCCCCCAAAATATGTGCTTTCATGCATTCATCTACAGGAAAAGGTAGATGGATGCATGAATGCATTCCATTCATCTACCAACATTTTGGGTAGGTGTCCTTTTATTTTACTTATTTTCTGCGACAAAACTAAACATAAAATAAGTCTGTAGAATCAAAATTTGTGTGAGCCAGAAATAAGTTAGTTCATTGTAGAATCTCTAGATTGGATTCTTGGAAAGTTGAAATCACTTGAGTCTGTTGCAGATTTGGCTGACATCCAAGAGTTAAGTAGGATATGTAATTAACACCACAGTGACTCAGAAGTAAGTCCCAGTAAGTTCTTACTATAGTTCACTTAGTTTGTTGTGGTGGTGCTGGTTTAGGGTTAGACTTACAGCAACCCTATGAATGAAAAACCTCCAAAATGGCCTGTCCATGGCAAGTCCATTCAGCTCTTCTAAATTCAAGCCTGTGGCTTCCTTTATGGCATGGGTCCTCAAACTAAGGCCCGGGGGCCGGATACGGCCCACCATGCCCATTTATTTGGCCCGTCATGCCCATTTGAACCCGGCGCACCTGCTGCCACCCACTTCACCCCGCGCACAGGGAGACAGTGGTTTGCTCGCTTGGAGTAAACGATCTCCAAGCGAGCAAGCCGCTACCTTGTGCGCCTGCCTCACCTCCCCTCACTGCGCGCACCTGCCTGCCCGTGCCTCGCCTTGCCACGTGTCCCACCCCCACCTCAGTGCACGCTCGCACTGCCCCCTCACTGGCCCGCGTGCACCACCAGCACCAACTTTCCAGCCCATGGCTAGCACCGGCACCTTTCAGCTGGCCCCCTGCTGAAAAAGTTTGAGGACTCCTGCTTTATAGATTCAGTCCATCTCATATTTGGTCTTCTCTTTCAGCTTCTGCCTTTGACAGTCCCTAATATGATTGCCTTCTCCAGTGTGTCTTGATTTCTCAGGATGCATCCAAAGTATGACAGCCTCAGTTTTGTCATTTTTCCTTCAAGGGAAGGCTCTCGCTTGATTTGACATAGGACCCACTTGTTGGACTTTCTGTTGGTCCACCTACAACTAACTTTCAGCACACATATTTTCAAATGAAGCAAAATAGTAAACAAAGTAATTCCCCTCCTTCAAACTTGCTTTACTCATTATGTCATACGTGTTAATTATATGTGTATTGAGCTTGGCTTCAAGCAAGAGTAGCAGGAGCTTGCTGTTTAAATGATTCAGTGTGGCTTCAGCTGTGTAAGACATACGCTTCCTCTCTGTGTGAGTCCATGTTTCATTTGAAAGCCTAGCAATACACACATCACCCACAGATCAGGATGTCAGTATAACGGAGAGATTTTGCCCAAAGAGACCAAAACCAACATAATGCAATATCAAAACATTTGTTACAAATACGTCTGTCTAGTTATATAAAAATGCTTAAAAGATATAAAGGCTGTTAAAGTATCTGAGACTTTCAAAGAAGAACCATAGTGTTTTGAATTTGTCTTTATTCACTTAATATTGGAATGAGAAAAATACATCCTTTTACAGTTTTATTTTATGTAATCAAATAAACGAAGTTACAGTGGGTTGTAAAATGCCCACTTGTGAATGCAGTGGTTCCTTCCAGTCATGGAAGTGCCCAAAATTCCTCATGGGCTGGAGGAAAGCAGGGAATGGTTATTTTCTTTGATTTCCCTTCCCTTTTCATCCTCCAATGCCATATCCCACTGCTCTACTGAAGAGTACCTCAACCTTCAGGAACAGCTTTTGGGATGGGACAGAGGGCTGCAGAACAAAAGAGGAATTGGTAAAAATCACATCCTGCCCTTCCTCGAGAACATTCTCATAGTGGACTTCCACACAGAGGTTGTCTGAGTTGAACCAATTATATTTTACATTTTTTACTTATATGAATACATTTATGGAAATGATAAAATGTTCTATTGTATCATAAACTTAAAAGGAGTTTTGAATAAGTATGGCCTGTGTCCAAATTGGCTGTATCCAAAGATTTCAGATCTCCAACACATTCAAAAAATTCTGATTGAAATATTTTAAACTGAACTGAGATTTGATTGGTAGCCTTCTTGCGTGATAATTTTCCATTTTTTCTTGTGCTTTAAAAAAGTATTTTCTAATAGCCTTCCTTCACAAACTTCACCTCCTCTGTATGCATGTCCTATTCAAATAAATGGATATAGACTTACACAGTGTAATGGAAAAAGCGATACTGAAATCACCTTTTGGTTTCTTGCTTGAAATATTGAACTAAAACAGTGCCCACTAGTGCATAGCACATGGCTCCTCAAAAGTAAGTTTCACTGATTTCAAAGCAGCTTACTCCTCAGTTATTGATTACAGAATTACAGTGTAACAAACAGATTCTGGAATTGTTTTCAGAATGTTAATGTATTAATTATGTATCTTAATTGTTCATTATTAGAGAGTAGCCCTAACAGAGTGATGTTCTTTAGATGGATATTGACCCCTATGACCATCCAGAGCTCTGCTGACAAGAGCTAAGCAGGATGGGAGGAACAATAGAGGTATTTTAATCACCTTCGAAACCTTAAAACCCATTTCTAGCTGATAGCCTATCTACTGGGCATACCTTGCTGTGAGCAGGATGAGCAACAGAGAGCCTTACGTATCTAGCAGATCCATGTCTCTTCCTTTCCCTCAGTAATGTATCTTACAGGGGAATCTAAACCATCCTAGTCCCCGAGACACCATTCCAGGGACCATGAGATTCCTCTGCCAATATACTGTCTAGCAGCAAGACCCACAAAGTAGCTTATATAAATTCCATATACAAAACAATTAAAATCTACAGTTCTTTTCATTTCATTATGGAAATAGATAAAACATGAGTAATCTGCATAAAACATTCAACTGCTGTCTGGGAACTTCTGAAATAGCCAAAGTCATTAACCACTTAAAAATGACATGCACCTGAGTGGTTTCTTAAAAGAGGGAATCCTACAAAGAGAGGTGCTTCAAAACAGTTGATGTATCTTTACAACAAGTTGATGATGTAAATCTCAATCCACCAATATTATCTGTTAACAGATGAACTTCTGCATTCTGCAGTAGCTGAAGTTTCAAAAAAACTTCAAAGCCAGACCCATGTGAAGCACATTATAGCTACTAATCTGGAAATCACTCAAGCCTGAATGGCAGTGGCCAGATCTGTCTTCCAGCTGCTAAGGCCAATAAAAGGCACTCTAAGCCACAGCTTCCACCTGGGAATCTCTGCTTAATGATCATATTAAGAGGAGTAGAGGAGAATAATCCTCTGTCCATTAGTAAACATCTGTTGAGAATGTGAAATGTGACTGTCTCTTGTGATAAGAGAGAAGGAGCACAGGAGAACAATCATACTGAATCTTCTTTATGGACATAGAGCAAGATGAGGTTCTTATAAGATACTAGGAATTACATAGTCCCTCCCTGCTATAGTGGAAAGTTTAATTATTTATTTATAACATTATTAATCTATTAATTGTTGATACAATTATGACTAATATCAATTGAGAGCTATATCTTGCATGATTTTGTCTAATCACCTTTTAAAGCCATAATGTTTTAGTATCACTATTATTTGTAGCAGTGCTTTCTCCTCAAAGTGCCTTGCAAACATGTCAAAGTGTACTATGAGTGGTTTGAGCTGTATCTGTACATAGTCCAAACAGGAGGTTACTAGGACATCTGTTAAAGTAGCAGGAGCGCTAGTTACCAGGTAAAGAAGTGGCTGGATAATGGCGTATTGGAATATTTGTGATGAAGAGTACGTCTGGTCAAGATTGCAAGCTGAAAATCCAGGAACAGTGCTGCATCTAGGAGCACCCCTCAACTGCAACAGGGGCTTTCAGGAAAACAGAACTTCCCCAAGACTTAAGTTAAGTGGACCACCCAGTCCCAGCACAAACTTTCCTATGCCTGAGACAAAAGAATACAAGTACCATCTCAAGCACTGTTACATGGCATGCCTCCAACACCACTTATACCTTTCTGCTACCATGTTCACTCTAGGTTTGGGGCCCAAAACAAGGGTGTCTAGGAACTGAGAGAAAGGGATGGGAACCTGTAAAGATACACTAGCTGTGACAGTGGTGGGAGGTTCCTGCTAAAGAAGATACTCGGCTATAGCAGCTTCCTGAAGTGAGGTTCTGTACAGGCACAGGTGATGAACCTCTAACAGATAATCACCTGCCTGTGTTTGTTCTGCATATTCCCAGTAATTGGAAAAATCTCATCCCAGGATGTCCTCAAGTTCCTGCCAAAATGGTATGATCTAGATATTGTTTGTAAGTGTATTGATACATATAATTCTTGATCTTTGAACTTTGCATCCTAGGATTTGAGCTTGTTCAGAAGACTGAACTTTGTGAAAGGAAAATTCAAAAAGCAGTGTAAGGCATATTTTATAGCTTTCTGTAAAGCTATAAATGACTGAATGTGGTGACTGAATCTAGTTTCCAACAGAAATATATGTAATTACTTGCTTTCCAAGTTCTAATACAAAATTATTCTCCTCAACATGGATCAAACCTGATAATTTCTGTAATTTACTCTTAAGTTCTGTTTCAGCACAATCCTATACATAGTTCTTTACAGTGAAATACTATGCACGGCCAGGAAATGCTGGGAGTGTTAGGGCATTTTTTTTCTGTCTAAATATGCATACAATTGCAGTCTTAGATTTTACTCCCATTAAATTCAATGGGTCTTAGTTCCAGCTCAGTGGATACAGGACAGCAGTCTAACTCTATTTATGTTCACATTAGTATTTTGGTCCATGCAATTCTCTGAGTTACTCAGATTTACCGGCATTGAGGACTTAAAAGAGGCAATGGATTTTGTGTACCTTTATTTGTTTGATTTCATACCGGATCATTTTGTGAGTATGAAGAGGATCATCACTTGATGCAATCACTTTTTCACTGGAAATTTTTGCTCGAATCACTGTAAGGAAATTAAAGCAAAATTCTTAATTGCAAAAAACCCCCAGCTGTTTTTGTTCATATTCCCTACTTCGTCTTTTAGTGTCACATAATATTGTACAATATTGCACAGCTACAATTTCAAAGTACTTAGTGCCTTCTTAATTCCCTGTCCCCAAAAACTCTATTATAGGTACTAGACTTGATCAAAAGGAGTGGTGGACCTACAAGCTAGACTACCCTCCAGAAATACTTTCAGGTAATCCAGGTTTCTCATTCAGTGCCCATCAAATGACTGAAAATCCTGATTCTTTTTTGGACTCTGCAAAACACATGAAAGGAATGGAGGCCTAAGGGTGATCTTGGCCCTAGCTGCAATTTGCAGGCTCAAGGAGGAGGAAAAACTGCCTGCTATGCTGCCTGCCATGGTCAGAGCACAACCATTAAGCTGTCTCAAAGCAGCCATCCTTCATGTGGCTGCAGCCACTTCCCACCCCACATCCAGCAAGCACAAGTGCCAGAATGAACGATGTACAGCTGCTGTCAAAGAGCACAGTGGTGCAGCTGCTCACAGTCTGGGTTCATACCTGGCAGCTCTTCCTCCTGCTCTCTAGGAAGACCTTTAAAGTCAAAGGTACGGTAATGCTGAAGATCTTTCCCATCTCTCCCTGTCAAATTCTGGCTTCTGGGGCTGTCTGCTAGTAAGACATAATTCAGTCCTTTCACATCCAAGGTTTTAGCCATTTTTTCCCTCACTAGAACATCTCTTGCTAACAAGTGAAATAGGTCAAAGGAAAACTATACTCATGGTCTCCGTGAAAATAGTAGGAGAAATGGGTATGGATCAGCCATTGGAAGGAAAAGGGAAGAGGGTACCAAAGACTGTGGAACAACTATATTACCAAGGCAAAGATACAGGCATAAACCCCTCCCAAAATTATCCTACTGGATTTCTAATGGCGTTCTTCATGTTCAGAAAATAAGATATATGGATAGAGTATTATTTTGTCTCATTCCTTATTTCTGTCAGCAATGTAGATGAAGCTTTGCAGACTAAGACTGGTAAATAGGAAGGTTCTTTAATCTATATAAAAATAGAAAGTAAAAACCTGAGATATTGAGATTGCTGTTTTGCTAGGAAAAATACTAAGTTAAGACAAAAAGAGAAAGAATGTTCATTTCCTGCACATTAGTTAAGCAAATGTAGTTAAAAATCTATATTTCCTCTAGTTTACAGTTTCAGACCTTGCATTCAAAGACTGTAGAGAGACAAGCATTCCCAAATTTAGAAGTGCTTCCTTTTCATGATTAAAAGGAAAAAGAGCAAATATTCCCTTTGCTTAAATCACGGTAGAAGCTTTATTCTGAAGTGGAGTTTGCAATTATCCATAGACCATTCTCACAGTCATTCTTAGTATCTGCAAGGACTGCTTGGGTGTCAGTTGATTTTCTTTTGTTGAGGCAAGGGTAGAATCACGCCGTTCCTTAGTTAACCATCCCATTTAATAGTTCCATGGTGTCGTGCTGTAAGGTATCTGCCAGGATGTCTGTGACTCTCAAGAACTATTGCTTGGGAGTCCCTGGTCACTGTCAGAAAGAATTTAGACTTTTGGTCTGGCCCCACAGGACCGTTCTGAAGTTCTTACAGTCTGATTAGTTGATTATACGAAATACAGACCTTGGCAAGTTAAGATTCCTGTGTGGTACCATGACTTTTTCTGTCTTCTGAACCTGGAAAACCCAAACCCTAAAAAACCCCTATGAAACTGCTCCCCCTTTCTCAATATTTTCTGCCCTGCCTGTCTTCCATTCACTAACTCTGCCCCTTGGCATCACTTTCCCTTCTCTCAGATTGGCCTCTTTTGACTATGAGGCTGTGCCATCTCAGTTTTCAGGTTTTAAAATTCTAATGTTCTTAGACTTGATTATTGGGGAAGACCTTACGCCCAAGCTGAGAAAATGCCGTGTGTTGTTGCTGCTACTTCTGCTTCCCCCCTTTTTTTTCTTAAGCAATAGTGCACCTCACATGAGATATTCAAATAGATGCAATCAATGTGTTAATAAGGACTCTTGCAAAATTAAAAGAAAAAATAAGTCTGTACTGAATTGGATAGTGTGGACACTTAAGAAAGAAAGCGACAGGCAGAAAGGTATCTAGAGAAAAGCAAGTGGGATTAGGAGAAGTCTAAAAATTAAGTTCTTCAAAAAACAATTGAAGGAGCAGGGTGTATTTAGCCTGGTGAAGAGAAGAGTAAAGGGAGATGCAATGGCAAATAATTGAAAGGCTGTCATGCAGAATATGGAGCAGACTTATTCCCTGATGCTCTAGAGCACGAGACTAGAAGCAATGCGAAGTTGCAGGGAAGCAGATTTCAGATTTCTAACCAAAAAAACGCTGTTCAAAAATGGAATAGCCTTGGGAGATGCTGTCCGGAGATAATTAAGCTGAGGTTGGGTGGCCATTTACCAAGGGATTCTATTTAGCTGCATCCAGCATAGCAAAGCCTGCATTATGCAGACAGGGTAGATGATCTCCAGGATCTCTTCCAGTTCTATGATTCAATTATGTTAACCTAGTGGAAACCCAACCTTTAGTTTCTGAACTTTAATCAGACGTTCTAATAATCTTCAAGGAAGTATTACCATTTAAATGAAAAGACTGAAGTAAGAAAAGAATTACCAGTCCTATGCCCGATATTGTCATCACTCTCACAGAATAATGGGTTTAAGTTACAGGAAGCCAGATTTTGACTAGACATCAAAAACTTGCAGGCTATTAGAGCGATACAGCAATGGAACCAGCGACCTAAGGCTCCCCCATACTGGAGGCATTCAGGAGGCAGCTGGACAGCCACCTGTTAGGTATGTTTTATATGGGGTGATCAGGAAGTTGGACTCAGTGGCCTTATAGGTCCCTTCCAACTGTACTATTGTATGGTTGATGATCTATATTTCTATACTTGATGGTAAGGATGGACAGCTTGGTGTTTTGAAGCTATAATTCCCATAATCCCAGACTGTTCCCCATGGCTGTTCCTGCTTAGCTGGGAGTTCTGTCACAAACAGTAGTAAAATTGGAAATCATTTCATTCACTTGCCAAGATACAGCAAGAAGCTCTATCAATTATTCTGGTGCTTTAGCAGGTGATGCCATAATTCCTGCTCTGAGAAACAGCCCACTCATCCCCTTCTTCTGTAGCACCAGCTATTCTAGCATGTTATTTTGTGGTTTCCTGGAGCCTGAAGAGACTGTTGTAGAGACTGCCCTCTTCCCTTGTCCCCCAGTGTTGAACTAATCAGCAGAAGAATGAGGGAACACCTGATTCAATCATAGGACCAGGCAGAAATGGTCCATGGAGATTGTCTCCATTTTTCTCCACTTTCTTTAGCAGTAATTATATAAGTGAAATATGCATATTATTTGCAGTCTTTTGACTGATAATGCATTTTCAGAGACAATAATGTACCAGAAAATCCCATCCATGGGGCACAGTATTCTTCATTTTATTCACCAGTTTCTAGGGGGAAATGTAGTATGCTTTGTCTCCAGTACAGTATTTAAAAAGACTAGTTGTAGATATTTCTTTCTTGCAGTCATGAAGAAAACACAGAGCTCTAAAGTTCTGGTTAACCAAAATTGTAATGATGAAGGCACTCTCATGTGTAACAGTATGTCTCTTCCAATTTCTGTTTAGCTCTATGCAGTTCTCTTATTTTAGCTGAAGTCAAGCATCATTACTGTGATGAACAGTAGCCAATTTGCAGATGTCAACTGTGATAATTAAACAAATTAGCTAGTTTTCATTCTTTCAGTGGTAAAATATTGGATCACCCTAGTTTGCTGATTAATATGTCAGTGGATTTTTAATGAGTTCCCGAGTTTCAGAAGTCATAACAAAATTGCTGATAGAAACTTTGACATCTCATATGTTGAGGTTTGTGGGTTTGTCCATAAATGAGAGAAGAAAACATTTTCAACATGGTTCCATAATCTCAAAAGCTGCCCCCCTTTTTGATCAAGGAAAATGCCATTTGCCACCTTTGTATGTTTGCAGAAGGTTGTTAGTAATCCTTTATGCAGCAAGGAAGCCAAGTCTTCTGACTTTATAACTTACTACACTAAATATGATGTAGACCTAATATAGGAGGCACGGTTTATAGCAAGAAAGGTGGCATTCCAAAGTAGACACTTCAGACTCTCAATCTTAACTGGAAGAAGAAGCAGGGTCAAAATGCTTAGCGGAATTTCCAAGGCCAGTAAGCTATAAGCTAAGCCAACTGGCTGGTCAAAACCAGACTGCCTCTGGTCTGTGGGGAGAAGCTGTAAAGCAAGGTATCAGAGTGGGAGATATGTAGCATTATCTGCCTAGTGATCAAACATCGAGTCAAAGAAATGTATCACTTAAATAATGTCCAGTGTTCCTGCTATCTGGCCCACAAGCAGCATGAACCTCCCTGAAGGAGAGCTAACTTCTTTTGGTGGAAAAGAGAACTGGAGATTAATGATTAGACTCAGCTCCTGGTATGGGCAAAACTAAATCTATGGTTAAAGGGTTCGTTAACTTGACTGATGCCTCTTGGCAATGACCTTAATGTTAGTCCATTTATATTACAAAGCCAGTCCTAGCTGGCCAGCTTAACATAATAAAATACTATAGTTAAAAGCCTCTCCTCTTGATCTGCTGAGAAGAGGGGTGGGGGAGAAAAGTTGTGGGAGAGAGATAACAGTTCACAATATTTTTTGTATCATCTACCATCAGTTCTTACTCCACAAGTTGTCAGCAGGCCAGAAAACAGAGGTGGTCTGTTTGTCTGCCCTTTGCAGTGTCTTAATCTTCAGAAATCAGCAAATGTAGTTTTCACAACATGGAGAGAAGTCTATATCCAAAGATCAAGCTGCTGCTAAAGCATAAGAACACTGGCAACTCTGTGTACTAGAGAACAATGTACACCACATTAATGTAATATAGGCTGTGTATATCAGTCCTGCAGTATACAGACTGCATCTCTTAACCTTCACACCCAGCATGCCAAAAGGCCATGCTGACTGGTAATGATGGAAGTTGCAGTCCAACTCATCTGGAGAGCATCACACTGGGGAAGGCTGGCATTAACTGGAATGGAGGGAGGACCATTCAGGTCCAACTATTGAGAAGCTGCTGCTAATTTTTTGAAAATAAATTATGGAAGCTCACCTAAAATATACATCAGTAACATTGTTTGAGTGATACTTTGCCACAAATACAGTGTTAAATGTTTACAGTTCTGAATATGTAATGGTCATTACCTTCAGCAACTGTAAGATGTGATCTAAAACACAGTAAATTATAATTGCCTTCATGGAGATAATGTAAAATGTAAATTTGTAAGTGGGACCTGCAACAAAATGTTGCAGCATGGAGTGTTCCTTTTCATATCAATCCCCTTTCCTTCCTCCCCACTTTCTCATTCCTTTCCACCACTATCCCAACAAAGGCAACATATGACCACTGAGCATCTCAGTTCTTATGGGGGCTATTGGGAGAGAGAAGTGCCATTTTACATTATGTTTCCTCTAAGGATTATTTGTATTTTGGCAAACTGTGGAGTATTGCTAAGCATGCTGATACTTTTTATTGTTCCTTAGTGGCCCCATTTTAGTTTCAGTTCTATTGATGTTCTCCAGTTGAGTTTGCTATTAGTATATATGATAGCAAGTGTAACTTGTTCATCTACAATCCACATGACCCAGTTTTTCTATATCATAAATAAATATTGATTAGTCTTCATTTCCCACAGTTGCTTGGCATATCAACAGTCCAAGTTGAAGAGTGGACCATCTCACCCCTATGCAATTGATAAGATTGTGTTGTTATTGTTGTTGTTGTTGTTTTCTTTGTTTGTTTTCTGTTTTCCAAGAACTAAGCATGAAAATGCCAGCCTGATTCAGGTTAACTTTATGACTCTGTTCTTCAAAATAAACAAATTGCTTCTTTATAGTAATGAAGCTATGTGGAATACTTGGTGTGTGACTAAAAACTAAACAGCATTATATTTGGTCTGCACTGCTGAACCTTTGCTTTGTCCCTTTTTATCAGTCCTTTTGATTGCTCTAAACACTGTGAGATGCCATAGTCCTCTTCCTTGGCCTCAGACTGATCTCCAGCACAAACTATGTTGATATATTTCACATTTCAGAGAAGTATTATGTACAGAAGAATGTAACAGAACTGCATCACACGCATTTTGAGTACTCTTTTGATTCTTTTCCACATCTAATAGCTGTAAAACTGAAGTAATACTAATGGCTACTTTTTGCTGTACTTCACATTATTCTAGACTGGCATGTCTGATGTAGGTAATTTAATGAAAACATTGCTTAACACAGCCAGATTAAGAAACAATTTAATTGATGGTCTTAAACAGAGTTTAGAGTTTGTCATGGCTACAAAGATTTTCTGTCAGCACATGAAAGCAATTAATCAGTATGCAGAAGGTATTGCCTGTCCCATAGAAATGCTAATTTTGTGACATTTTAGAAACTCATGTTCTACATTTACTGTTCACTCTGGATGGAAGCTAACTAGCCAGAGTTTGAGCAGATAAATGAAAAGACTGCAGAATGTCACATTTCCTTATCCCAGTGTTCTCTAATTGTGAAACTTTAGTTTTTTAATATAAAGACTGAATGCTTAGAAGAAAAGTTGGCCATATGTATATAAAGGTTGGCCATATACTTAAAAAACCTTGCATAAATGTCCATCCATAAATAAATAGAATGCTAGCAGCCTGCTGAATCCTTGATTTAAATGATAAAAAAACAGATTATTATTTCAAAGTTCAATGAATGTTGCTCTTATACCTAACAGAATATTTACAGGGCAGTGTAACTACATGTAATGCCAAAAATCTATGAAGGGTACACACATTACATAACTTATATCCTCATAATTCTGCATATTAAATGGCAGCAATACAGAATCTCAGCTCAGGTACTTGTCATTGTAAAGGAAGTCCACAAAAGAACAGAGCACAGCAGTTCCAAAAAACAGTTGCATAGAAAGCTGCAAAGCCAAATAAATGGGAGCAATGGCTTCCAGATGCTTTTGAAATTCATTTTGCTCCTGAAGTCGTTTTTATCTTTAAAACTCTCCTTTTGCAGCTCTGATTGAGCATTGTTAGAGATGAACCCCTTGAGCAGTGCAAAAATGTATGCCCACAGTTAATCTAGTTTCTGTAGCTCTCTTTCTAGTAGCATAAAAGGTGTTTATGACTCACCTAAAGCAGAATCGCAGATTTGCTGCTGGGGATGTGCAGGGGCGCAGCTGCAAGCTTCTATCAGCTCCTGAATTCTGAGGGTTAGAAGAAGCAGCAGTGAGCATAACAAGGTACTGAGCAGAGGATTCATGCTGCTTGAAACCCGGCTTGCTGGCCAGCTTGAAGAAAATGTTCCTTCACTCCTGAGTTTATATCTAAACTTCCTAATGACTGTCTGGTTTCTTCTCTGTGCAAGCAGCAGCTCAATTTCAGCACTTAAAATGCTTGCCCGGGGGGTGGGGGGGGTGACGAGCCTTTTCAGCTCAGCCCAAACATATACTTATGTTAACTGACTTCTGATGCTCCTGACATAAGACTGTCTTATTTATTGCCCTGACACTTATTTGTAACCCCGCCTTGCTTTAAGCAAAAGCACATCATTGGTGAAAATATTGCATGACAGGTTTGTTTTACCAAAAAAAAAAGGTTACCTTATGCAGTTACATCACAGTGTTGTCGTTATGAGTCATTGTCAGCAGTAATCCTGAAGGCCTTTCACATTCTGCTCGGTTTTAGGACCATTAGCAGAATTTTAAAATATATATATATCAATTAGCCAGGAATATTTTATTTCATTTTTCACATTGTCCAAGGCAACTGCATCTCAAAACCTAATGCTAACTTTCACTTTAAGGCTCAGCTTTAGCTTCAGCCTCTAACCTTTCCCTGCCCCTTGTTTGTACCATTTTGCTGGAATGCACAGACCATCCTTCATGAAGAGTGAAGAGAAAATGTATTCGTGTCTTATTTGTGAGGCCTGTTCAGTTGCTGCATTCAATAGTACTTACAAGAAGAGAATTACAAGAGGGTAGTTTTGCTGCTACCTTAAGATTTGTTTGAAGTATTAACATTTTATTTAAGGTGTCATCCGTGTTAATTTGTAAGATTAACTTCTAGTTTAACATTATGTGAGTGATGACCCAAATGCATATTTTTTTCTTGTTTATTTGGTCCCCCTTTTTGCAACTGGGGGAGAGTCAAAGCAAAACATTCACCTTGTGCAGCAGGGCTCTCATTCTACTGAGAACAGAGAGGGTAGGAATGATTCAGGAGGAGATGGATGAATGCAGATGAAGAACCAGGTTGAAGGTGCATGAGATGCTGTCAGCCCAAGTGATAGCAAATCCATAAAGTTCCACTTCATTCCAGTTTTTATTTTTCCAAGGCTAATTTTGATCCATTTGGATTCCACCTCAGATTTCAGCTTCTTATTTGTCTAGATGAAGATTTGCACATATTTTGATGACCTTTTTTAAAGATACAGTTTTGTATGCTGTTTTGCAAATGTATATATTTTCTTTTCTTATAAAGCACCTGTGCACACCCTCTGCAAATAGACACGTGTTCACATTTTAATATGTTTCTTTTTAGGACTACATCACAAACTTTGGACATATACAAATGTCAGTTGCAAGATGCATTCCTGTTTCTTTAGGGTCACACAGTGTGAATTTAGTATATTTCTCACCCATCCCTACTAGTAGGGTACAAGGAAAAGAATGAGATATAGGAAGCATTGCCCAGTACTTATCCTAACAATGTTAAGTTAGAAGCTCATCTTACAAATTAGAGTTAAATCAATTCATTTCTATCAATACATCAACCAAACTGATAGAGGAAACATTCCCCTTTCTCTGAACTAGCAGTTTTTGCTCTCACTGAAGTAATCATATATCTAACTAGCTCTGCAGCCACGTTCATGTGTTACATGCAGGAAATGGCTTCATATGACCATGAAGTCATGTTTTTCTGACTGACTTTCTAATGCACCTGATTGCCTATAATTGGCATCCCAGATGGTGTGAAAGTCAAGACCTAGAGTCGTCCTTTCTTCAGTGTTCAGTTTGTGCGCAGTGGTATTTCCTCACTTCCTTTGAGTCATATGGACTATTCATGCATATTAACCTTGAAGGAGCACATAACTCACACAATGTGACTCCTGATGTGCCAGGATAGCCTACCAGTCAAAAGAAGCCTAAAGTTGGGAGGTGGCTAATTACACTGGAGCAGTAGCATTTAGGATCACAGACAAGGGTAAGGGCACCAAAATGTGTCCAGTGTGTACCTAATATGGATGCTTGTCTCTAAACCATTTGGTCTAATACTATGAAAACCCAATTCTTTTGTTCTATGCTGTGATTTTCTAAGCCATTAACAACAACAGACTTTATGAAATTGGATGGAACTGTGTAACATTCTTTAGAAGGATGTCCAGGTAAAAATCAGTTCATGAGTTGGTCAGTCATTGGGAATTAGACAGGCCATCCAACGATGGCCCAGAACGTAAGCTTCAGAATATGGGACCCGGGTTAAGCCAGGAACAATTATATGTGTTTCCACTATTGATTGTTTCAACTCTAGTTGCTTTAGTGGATATATTGCTGTGAGACATCCCTGATACCGTTAAATATTGCAGGCCTGTGATATAGTTAAAATATTAGATTATTTTTAATGGTGGGGGAAATGAGATCATATTGGGTAGTTTTCAGTTCACATGACATGAATAAATAGTTTTATTATTACTGTTATTAAGGCTTTTAACCTTGGTGGTCTCTCACAAATCTACCTGTTTGCAGTGTATTCCTTCTAGTACTGATGTGGAGGATGATATTGGAGTGTTATATGGGTATGTGTGGAACTAATATTTACAACAGATATACATAACAGAAAGGCAGACATGCAAAAGACCACTAATAAAATAACTGTTTCTTAATAGACCCAAATCCCATTTGTGCAAATCACTGGACCCAAAATATTTAATATGCAAAAACTCTGAACATTTCCAGAACAGGGCAGGAGGAAGGAATCTGCTACATTCAACTGCCACTTATCAGAATGGAATCACATATGTACTAAGGACCTCCTTAGAAGAGGAAAATGACAGGCACTTTCTCACCAGGCACTTTCTCACCAGGAACAGTTGGCTCCCCACAGTTGAAAATCTGGATGTTTCCACATGGTGGTGCCTTAATGCTAACTTTCAGAAGACATTGTGTAGTTCTTCTGTCCTCTGTTCCTTAAAATATTTTCCACCATAAAAAGAATGAAAGAAATTGTCAGAAAAAACATCCAGGTGGATCCCCAGCAAAATTCCGTATATGAGGCAGGATAATAGCTACATAAAAAAAACTCATCTGGAAGCATCTCCTGGGACAGATGCTGTGAAGAGCATGCTGCAGAACGAAGAGACTCAGCCTTATAATCTTTGAGTTCTTTTTGTTTTTTTGCTATTTATATGCCTCTACATATTTTGAAAATCTCTGATTAGTATCCATATGCATATTAAATTTATAATTAAAATCACATTTAAAATATTATTTCAAAAACAATGAGATACAACACAATTACAATGATGATTCAGAGCAATAAAGGAGCTGTTGCATTTGAAAACATCATTAGTTTAATTACAAGTCAGGGAAAGCCCGAATGAACAAATGCATTTTGGGGAGGTGCTTGCAAGATGCCAAATTGTCCGCCTCCCAGATGCCACATGGGAGTTTTTTGCATGCCACCAAGGCGGCCTGCTTTTATCACTGTGTGCTGTCAAGTGGTCTCTGACTTAATGTGACCCAATGAACAAATGCCCTCCAAAATGGTCACTTAGTGACAGGCCGGCTCCTCTTTGCTAAATTCAAGGCTGTGGCTTCCTTCACGGAGTCAGTCCCACTCATTATCTGGGAATGGCCAGCAAGGGATCTTTCAATGGTTGACTGGGTGGATGCATGGGAAGGTGGTCTGCTAGGCATCCTGGTCTGACATTGTCTAAGGCTTTCTATGACAATACTGTAGCTCCATAGCTATTAGACAGCTGGTGTGGCTCCCTTAGCACACGCCTTACATGAGGATAGCTGGAAGGGAAGTCCGAGGGAGTTCCCTAGCTGCTGCCCTCTGCACCAGCTGGTGCTCCTGAGCCAGGCCAAGGGCAGCCCCACATGGAGGACATTATGACGTCACTAGTGTGTGATCACCCTGGTTATCCCTATCCATGAATAGGCCTAGCTGGGATACCAGACAACTCTGGTAGTGGGCACTGCCCACAGAGGTCACCTGGACATCCAGTGGCAAGGATGGATCCAGAACAATCCCCAAATTATGTACATGCTCCTTCAGAGGAGATACAGTTCCATTCCTGGATGTGGGAACTGGCAACTCGGGCGGTCTCTGTCTTGAAGAGATTCAGCTCCAGTTTAACAGCTTTCTTCCAAGCCATAATTGCATCCAGGCACCAGTTCAGAATATGCACAGCCTCTCCTGATTCAGATCTCACAAAGAAAAGGAGCAGAAATATGAAAGTAATGGATCTAACTTTCCCTCCTTCCTGGGCACATCATCTCCTGTTACTCTAAGCCTATAAGCTCCTGGGGCTGCAGGAACAGGATAGCCCTGGAGATGGGCTGACGTGTCACCCTATGTCTCTTGTGCAACTCTCCTAACAGCTTCTTAATGCCATAGAATGGAGGCAAAACCACCCTGAGGACTGGAGAGGAGAGCTCAAGTACAATGCGCTTGAGTGACCCTAAGTTGTACTTTGGAACTATGACACACTTTCCAATTTGTTTGACCACCCATGGTTTAGGCTCTTAAATAATAATGCAGCTTCCCCTGTGTGGAAGAATACATTCCCCTTCATTTAAGGAAAGTCCCACGCATAGCTCCATGGGGTTGATGTTACCCTCTGCTGGGTATCTCATGTCCATGAGATGAGGCACCCATTACCAAAGCTTGGAGCTGTTTCTTGCACAAGTTGGAAAGATCTAAGGTAGCAGTTTGGCAGTAAATGACTCCCTTGTTAATCAGCAGCTAATTATTTAACACTAGTCACCACAGGAAAAAAAATCCTCTTTTTTCAAAGGTAATTGCTAATTACACTTGGGCAATTGCCCTTAAGTAGAACATTCATGTGATATCTCATCCAGGGTGCCAGCAACCTGTGAACAATTTGATTTTGGGCAAACTCTCCAGTAGCCACTGTTTACAGACCAATACACTCATTTGAAGATAAAATCTTGTAATTTGCCAAGTCCAGCTAGTTAGTTACCCTGAATATATCTGTGTAGACATAAAGAACTGTGTCTCCATTGTATCCCCTCACCAACTCAGATTAAT